AAATCGATAAATGCCTTGAGTGTGCACCGACTCGTTGCATCAGCAATGACCACCTGGCCCTGCGGTGATGTATTAGCAAATTAATCTCTACCGAGCACAGAAATTAAAAAGCTGAACTTTCAAAAAAGTCGGTACATCAACCAGAAAGCAAAACAGGGAAAGCTGGGGGGGGCCACTGATGATCCGGATCCCTCGTAGCTGTTTCCAGCAACGGCAGCATACCGGCGAAACAGGTGTCTGGGCTTTTAGCTAGTACCTGTGCTGCTAGTATGGTAAGTTACAGCGTGAACCTGTGCAGACTGCTAGACCCCTAGTCTACCGTGTCGACTGCGTGGTGGGCCGTTTCATTAAAGGTTACTTCAAAGTCTGTCACCGAGGAAGACTTGGCGAGGCGATCAGTCTGTAATGTGCACTCAACCAAAGAAAACGTAACACCCAACGCCAGCACTACAGTGGAGGCGGTAGCGCCTTTGAGACCCGCACTGGTCACTAAATTAAGAAAATTGGAAAAGATAATACCGCTGAAGGCGGCTGTAGGTCAAAACAGTGGGCCGTTTATGTCAATCATTACAGCCCACCGTGCGCACGTCCCCACCCTCCGCCTCCCCCCCCCACGCTGATTCCCTCGTGCAAGAAAGGAGGTAGCGAAGAGATGACTAATCAGCTCCCCCAACCCCAAGAATCATAGAAGCCCTGTACATACTTAAATAATGTATTTTCCATGTCAATGCAAAGGCTTGTTTGTGAGGGAGCAAAAACAGATGTTTGCCAAAACTACTTTTCAATTGCAAAAATGAGCATTTTCGCAAAATTGACGCACCAGGCAATATGAATAGGTCTAAGACGGCTCTTTCTGAGTCCACTTCGTTTAAGTCCTCATCTTAATAAAGCTAGAAGTCACGCCCAAGAAATTAGAACACTGGGACGGTGGTGTGGAATATCTTCTACGAACTACGCATTGCATATGTCCACGCGCGTTGGTAGAGTCGGCACAAAAAATCGAATTCAGAGCGGTGGGGTGGGGGGTGCACAACAAACGAAAATAATAGCGAGGGCTCAGGTCACAAGAAATCGACTTAAGGTCAGCACGAGGTCTGAAGCGGCTTACTGCGTTATACGTATAAGACCGGTCACGTGTGCATAGAACTTACACGAAACTAAAATTCGCTTGACTGGCGCCGTCTTTCGAGTCGATGTACACACAAGCATATTCACGCATGAGAA